TACACCTTGAATACAAGTTGGGATTGAATGTTCATTACTCTTCTCATAGCTTGAGGAAACATGTGCATAACCCTTCTTATAGCGAGATTACAAAATGCAAAGAGTTCTTCGTTTTCAAAACGTCCAAGGTAACATTAAAAAGTAGAATGTTGTGATAGGAAATGCTTTACGTAAACATTTGTTCTGTATTTTCAAGTCATAAGCTATATATCTTAACTTACAGACTCTATGAGTAAGCTTCTACTTAGCGGCTGATGTCTCTAGGCCTGGAATGTTGGGTTATGGGTATTTTGAACGTCTAAATACATGAACGTCAGTACAAAATCAGCTTAAATGAACTGAGTCAGTTCGATACATGGTGTCATTACTGATTGTCAGTGATCCATTCATAAAATGTCGCTGCTGTTTTGCCTTTCACGCTCAGTGGAACCCTTTTCAGTGGTTAATCGAGACTGGTTGTTCTCTGACGTTGACTTTTTAACATTAAAAGGATTATAATTCTTATTTCACTACAAGAACATCAACGTTTTGGAACCCTTTTGAGTGGTTAATCGAGACTGGTTGTTCTCTGACGTTGACTTTTTTACATTAAAAGGATTATAATTCTTATTAAACTACAGGAAAATCAACGTTTTGGAACCCTTTTCAGTGGTCAATCTAGACTGGTTGTTCTCTGACGTTGACTTTTTTACATTAAAAGGATTATAATTCTTATTAAACTACAGGAAAATCAACGTTTTGGAACCCTTTTCAGTGGTCAATCTAGACTGGTTGTTCTCTGACGTTGACTTTTTTACATTCAAAGGATTATAATTCTTATTTTACTAAAAGAAAATCAACGTTTCATTTAACAATAGATTTCATTTTCCAGTGTCTCCATACGGGATGCCATTAAATGGGGGATTGAGTGAGTTAGGAGATTTTCAGTGTAAAGTTAGTTTGCCTGTATTTTAACCGGCGCTCGTTCAGTTCAAAATTCAATTAAGTGGGGTATGGATCTGAATTTAGGAACACCGATAATAGCCTTGAGACAACGTATAGCAGTACATTTCAAACATAATGATTGTTTTTAACATTATATTTAACTCTCAAATAGTATACGACTGAACATATGCAGCTCAGCTAATTCGTTAGCCATATCACTATAATCGCTATTACCACACCTTATTGTGACGCAAATGACTTGAAATACACTTTCTCCTTCATTTCTGTGTTTTCTTCTTAACATGTATCCCTATACATACTGTCAATATTATAAGAAATACGAAATTTTCGAACACAAAAAGGATCGTATCAACGTGCCTTTATCTGAATGTTTTGAACATTTCAGAAGTATTTGAATTGCGAATCAGACACGTTCTGGTCTCTGACACCGTGTAATATTGGAAGAACTTGACTGTGAAATTACTGTATCCAAAATTATCAGTTAATTCCCCCAAGCGTGCGAAATCACATGCGACTACATATTGAATAAACATTTAATCAAACATAGCAGCTATTTAATTAACATTTTGCATAAGATGTTTAACTGCATTTTATAAACAGGCCTTTTCCCCAAATCGTGATCTCAGAAGTGTTGGTCCTAGTTTTCAAAAAGGATGACGTTACTGATCCGAATAATTACAGGGGGATCAGTCTTGCTGATTGCTTCAATAAAGTTTATACTTCTGTATTAAATCAAAGACTAATAACTTGGTCTTTAGACAACGATATCATAACAGATTTTCAGTTTGTTTTTCGTAAACTACCGGGCAAAAGACAGTATACACCAATGTTTGATGGTGACAAAAGGATAGAATGTTTATTCGACGGTGAAGTATTTGATACGGGTATCATAGTTGTACTTTGGACCTCAAGGTTGCAGTGTTTCAGCGAATGTTTTTAGCCCAGTAATGTTTTGATAACGTTTGTAGTGTTTTGGTCAAATCCAATTCCCAAGTGTATACTTTCTTTTTGTATCGAGATTTAATATTTGTTCAGCTTCAGCTGCAAAATCAGATCTATTTTTATTTAAAACTATGTGCCTCAATCATTTTTTAAGAAAAACACCTTGCAACGATGAATTTTGTGGCAGACAGTTTCTATTTTTTATCAAAGGTCTGCATTTTGTTTTTAAGAATTTACAAGGACAATTTATCGGTCAATATTGTTTATGTTTAATAATAATGATAATAATAATAAAACGTTTACTTATGCGGCAATGCGGTTATATGAACAAGGCCAATGAGCAACATTTGCTCTTTGCAAATTGTGTAAATGGCGGATACTCCCCGTAAGGAAGAACATGCTTACCCATGTTTTATACAATGGTATATGCTGAGCTAGGTCGCTACCCATTACAATATATAAGAATATACAATATAATTAAATGTTGGAGCAAATTGATAGTTACTGATAACTGTATCCTGCGTGGCTGCTATGAATGTCTATACGATTAAGTGGAACCCCGTAACGCACAGAGTTGGACATATCAGGTAAACAATATATTGACGACTATCGGTTATGGCGAAATGCGGTATAAGCAATATTAGTTATTTTTTCGAAGTTTTTGGAAGTTATTTGGCAAGTGCTTCCAAATCTATCATTTATAAAAATATTGTTGCTATTAATACTTGACAATATAATCTTCGGAAGTCTATCCCTTCTTTATATAAAAAACATATTTGTCGACATCTCGACTATCTTCACACAATTTGGCTTAAATCTAGAAGGGATCAGCGATTTAATGATAAGCCACTGTGCTCAACTTGTCCCAGTGATAGTGACGATGAGCTTCACCTTGTCCACTATACGCCGATCTATGGGAGGTGTACATCAAATAATATGATTGGAACAACCATGCAGTATTTAAACTTTACAATTATTTAGCATACACAATGCTGTGCAGCTGGTTCACCGTGGTAAACTTCTCTATGGAGTTTACATGTTAAGAACAAGTTTAATACAAGATAATATTCATAAATTATATCGCTGTCGTGAAGGAGGGGGGGGGGGGGGGCAGTTGTCTAAGGCGCCGCGATTCGCTGTGTAGAGTCGCGTCCCTTAGGCACGCCAGAAACCTATGATTGTGGGTTCAAATCCCGGTTCGCCCCGATTATGTTTCTAGGTTTGTCAGCACCATACCCGTGCTCGTGGGTTTCATCGAAGTGGTAAACGTCTGAGACCTGCATCATTTCGGGCTTTCCTCCCACATTAAGCTGACACGCCGTGATATAACTGGAATACTGTTAAAAGCGGCGTTAAAACTAACTCACTCACTCTATCGTGAAGATGATGTCTGCTGTGTCCGGGACCATGCACTCCCATCGATTGTTGTTAGAGGAGATCACGGACTTCTTGGGGCCCGTGAAGATCCGGCTTAGAATAGGTCTTCAGAAACCCATGCTTGCCTAAGAGGCAACTAGGCTTGTCGTAAGAGGCGACTAACGGGATCGGGTTTTGTGTCGTATCTAGGATCGTCTGGTCCAGACTCGATTATTCACAGACCGCCGTCAAATAGCTGGAATATTGCTGAGTACGGCGCTAAACAACAACAAAAAACAAACACAGACTTCTAGTATGGGTCAATAGAACTTATGTGGGTCAATAGAAACAATCCTTGGAGAACATCAAAACATGTCAAAGGTGTGTACCTGATGGGTTCCTTGACTCCATCTGATAAAGGCCATCATATAAAGGCCACGCTGTCACCAACCCTAATGCTCTGTTAACCCGATACAGTAGCAACCCAGAAGACTTCAGTTAGGCTTGTGACCGGTACCTGGATCTATCACTGTGATCCCAAGAGCAGAGATCATTATTCAGTTCTGTGTATGCTGGGCTGAAAACCTTTTGATACCCGCTCATAAATGACATGTGTTGAACGCGCGAACACTGGCTTTATGAATTTATCTACATTCCATTGTCCGCTGAATTATCCGTGTTGATCTGTTACAGCCTACTGAATCTGTGTTACGTATGTTTCAGCCCGCTAAATGTATTTGTTACATACATTACAGCTTGCTACAGCTGCACATTCTATGAGTTCAATCTGTTACAGCCTGCTGAATCTATGTATTAAATCTGTTACAGTCTCCGGAATCTATGTGTTCAATCTGTTACAGTCTGCTGAATCTATGTATTAAATCTGTTACAGTCTGCGGAATCTATGTGTTCAATCTGTTACAGTCTGCGGAATCTATGTGTTCAATCTGTTAAAGTCTGCTGAATATATGTGTTCAATCTGTTAAAGTCTGCTGAATCTATGTATTAAATATGTTACAGTCTGCTGAATCTATGTGATCAATCTGTTAAAGTCTGCGGAATCTTTGCGTTCAATCTGTTACAGCCTGCTGAATCTATGTGTTACATCTGTTACAGCTTGCTGAATCTATGTGTTACAACTGTTACAGCCTGCTGAACCTATGTGTTCAATTTGTTACAGTCTGCTGAATCTTAGTTACATCTGTTATAGCCTGCTAAATATAGTTTTACATCCGTTACAGCTTGTAACAGCCTGCGGAATCTATGTGTTAAACCTGGCACAGTCTGCGGAATCTACATCTGTTATAGCCAGATAAATCAATGTGTTGCATCCGTTACCGCTCGGTACAGCTACTGAATCTATGTGTTAAATCTGGGACAGTCTGCTGAATCTACATGTTACATCTGTTACAGCCAGATAAATCAATTTGTTGCATCCGTTACCGCTTGGAACAGCTACTGAATCTATGTGTTAAATCTGGCGGTCTGCTGAATCTACATCTGTTATAGCCAGATAAATCAATTTGTTGCATCCGTTACCGCTCGGTACAGCTACTGAATCTATGTGTTCAATCTGTTATAGGCGGCTGATTCTAAATGTTTCATCAGTTACAGCTGCATCCTGCTGAATCGATGGGATTCTTTTGTTACAGCCTTCCAAATATATCTATTACATTGGTTACAGCTTGCTACATCCTGTAGAATCTCGGTGTTACATCTGTTAGAGCCTGCTAAATGAATCTGATAATTTGTTACAGCCTGCAGTATGTTGAGGGAGACGTTGGTGGCGTTGGTACTGATGCTAGGCCTGACTCACACCGCCGCTCAACACCGGAAGCGGGCCATGGGACAGCTGGGACATGCGCTGTGGGGCGACATGTACATCCGGTCTAAAGGTCAACCAGTTTTCTTGTCTCCTCAATACTCTTTATGTATCAGAGTAAAATACATATGGTCCTCCGGACTATCTATAATTCTATCTATGTATGACATGTTGATACGTATTTTCGTATATGACACTTTGACGTATTTTCACTTTGGTGAAGCCCACGAGCACGGGTATGGTACTGACAAACCTAAAACCGAGATTTGAACCCACAGTCATAGGTTTCTGGTGAGCCCGACAGCCTTCGTGGTCCTGTGGCAGAGCGTCCGCCCGGAGAGCGGAAGCTCCGGGGTTTGATCCCCGGCCGCGTCATTACAAAAGACGTTAAAAGATAGTACTTGTTGTTACCCTGTCTGGCGCTCGGTATTAAGGGGCTAACACAAGGACTGGTCGTCTCGGAGTCAGTATACTGTGTCTGAGTGGGGTATTCATGTTAAACTGCGGCATGGTATCTCAGTTGGCTAGCACTATTAATCGGAATCAGTCCGGTCTAGTACAAGCAGCCTCACACACACACGTGCATGCACGTCGCTATATAAGTGCAATAATCTTGGACGCGACGTTAAACCCCATTTCACCTCACCTCACCACGAAGTCGAATCTCGCTACTTAGCCCAACCACAACTGCGGATAAGTAAGTTAGTGTTTAGACATCTATCCTGTTTCAACCTTATTGCATGTGGGCGGTAGACTAGCCTAGGGGTTAAAGCGTTGGCCTGTCACGCCTACGGGTTCGATTCCCTGGTAAATGGATACAATGTGCTAAGCTCATTTCTGATGCTATTGCTAGGAGCCATGAAACCATACTCACGCACCTTATTGCTATCAACATCGACGGCGGTTTTATACTGAACAATTAAGAAAGCGGTGCCTTCGGGCATAAACAATAGCCCCGTTAGTTACTATTCAAACAGCGGCACATCAGACAGGTCTGTCCCGCCGGGTCTTCAAGGCAAGCTGTATATAGAGCATTATAAAACGATTAGTTTTATTTTGAGACGCAACCACGTCACTGTCATAAACAGATTAGAAAATCCTGCAAATCTGTACAGCCAATAGGATACTCTCAGTGTATTCATCAAGCGAGTTGAGAATCTCGTTGTCTTGATAAATTACAGTTTATACGCTGGGATGCGATGCTTTCTATTTGTGGACAGAGAAGCTAATAACATTTGCCGCTTGCCTGAATCTCCTCACATTCCCAAAGCAGCGTTATTTCGCCGATCGGTCAAGTGGCTTAAACGTCGAGCAATTCGTTAAACCTCGTCAGTTTCCGTGATCGTATCAGCATTTGTGTTTCAGTGTGTGCAAATATGAGGTGAACAGTTACGAGGGGTGCCAGCCGAATGAATAATATGAAATACTGTTAGGTTGCTTCTTTTTAAATATATAATACTAAATTTGGTGCGTATGCATATATCTAATACATATCCGCCAAGTTTGGTGATATTCATAGAATGACTGGAAAAAAGCGTGCATATTTTGTATTAGAACACATGATTTGCTTGTTTGTTGTTTAACGCCGCACTCAGCAATATTCCAGCAATATGACGAGAACATATGAGGGAAAATGTACCATCGTGCATTTGTATAGAAGCCCAGTCGTCTAACACGAGTCAGTTAGTGATGCAGAGTTGCGTCCCTTAATGGTATCCATTATGATCGTGGGTTCGAATCCCAGTTTCGACCTGATTACGCTTCTAGGTTTGTCAGCACCATACCCGTGCTCGTGGGTTTCAGCAAAATTGTAAACGTCGGAGACCTGCATCACTTGGGGCTTCACCCCAAGCTGACATGTCGTGATAAAACACTGGAATACTTCTCTATCAGGGGCGGTCGGGTAGCCTACTGGTTAAAGCGTTCCTCGTCACACCGAAGACCCGGGCTCGATTCCCGACATGGGTACAATGTATGACGCCCATTTATGGTGTCCCCCGCCGTGAGAGAGTGAGGTTGTTTTTACGCTGCTCTCCAGCAATATTCCAGCAATATCACGGCGGGTGACCCCAGAAATGGGCATCACACTTTGTACTCATGTCGAACCCGGGTCCCCGGTGTGACGAACCAACGCCACTGGGCTACCCCCCGCCGAGATATTGCTTGAATATTGCTAAAAGCGGCGTAAAACCATACTCACTCATTTCTCCCTCAAAAGAGATAATCAACTCACTCACTCCTAAGCAGTCTTGATAACACACACGTCAGTGCGCCCACTGGAATTGTTTCCGGCGTGTGATTTCGCCTACAGTCATTTTCCCCCCTCAAACTTTACCACTTCATTTCACACATGGAAAAGCTGTTGACGTTAGATTAGCTGTGAAATAATCACAAACTAACTTGAACAACTCATCAATGTCATAAAGGTGAAATTGATAATACGATACTAATCACATAAAGCGTGGGTGGCCGGCAGTTGAACGCACGCACACAACACATCGAGGCTATGTCAATCGAAAGTTAGGCTAAGTGCTAATTTTATCACGTAATTATAATTGGTGATTTCGGTAACTAAACAGATGCAAGCGTCTGTACTTGCACCACCAAATTAACTCCTTGCATTTTTAATTATTCACAGCAAGTTTCGGGAGGTTCTTTGGTCTTGCTAAGACGGTATAGAGTGAGTGAATGTTGTTTAAAGCCGTGGGTAGCAATACTATATGTGTATCATGGGTTTGTGGTAGCCAAGAGGTTGACGTGTTCACTCGTCACGCCGAAGGCCCATGTTCGATTCCCCACTTGGTTACAATGTGTTAAACCCATTTCTAATGTCCCCCGCCGTGTTGTGGTATTGCTGGAATATTGCTAAAGGCTGCTTCCTGTAAAGACTATGTGTGAAGCAAATGTTAAAACTATGTTTAACTTATGATGAACTTATTTCCAGAAACAATGAAGCTTTGATAAAAAAAAAAAATCTATCGGGCAAAAGAAACCATACGCTTGAAAATTAGATTTGACCAACAAATTACAAACGTTATAAAAACGTTGCTGGGCTAAAATAATCGCCGAGGCACCACAAACTTAGGGTCCAAATCACATCTATGATACCCGTATGAAACACATCAGCAGCGAAAAAAACATTTGTTTGTATTTTTAGCCACCATTAAACATGGGTGTATAGTTTCCTTTGCCCGGAAGTGTATTACATCTCCATTCTATTGATAACAGCCCTAGATACATTCGTCACCATAGCTTCGTTTCGGAAGTGATGTCATCGCTCCTATCTTGTGAGAGTAATTTGATTGGACAGCTCTATTTAGCGTCGTGCTATTTGACTTGGGCTCAGAATGAAGCTATGGTAAACGCATGGATCCATGGTAATTATCATGGTGATGTAATACCTGGAGTTATCAGGGGTGAAATATCGCCCACTTTTGCCGACGTGACCTTTTGCCCATAGCGAGTTTTTAATGAAAGTGACAAAACCCTTTCCATATTCAAAGGAAATCTCTGCCAAAAGCAGAGTCGATTGCACGATTCCGACTTTATCGTGAGCATGCGTACATGAATCACTATAAACTAGAGATGATACAAGGTGTTCGCGAAAAGGTGGGTGTATCCTGCCCTTCCGGTGGCACCGTAACAAACACATGCAAAGGCAAGTCAATTGTTAACTTGAAAAAACACAGGAACGTAGAGTCAAACTTGTGAATTGCATCATTTTGTCCCTGATGCGCCCAATTTGGAAACGTCCTTTTTGAAAGACCGTTGATCTAGGTAAATTAGGGTCAAGTCAAAATAGGGAATTGTATCATAGGCGATATTACATGCATCATCTCAATGAGTGAGTGAGTATGCTTTTACGCCGCTTTTAGCAATTTTCAAGCAATATCACGGCGAGGGACACCAGAAATAGGCTTCACACATTGTACCAATGTGGGGAATCGAACCCGGATCTTCGGCGTGACGAGCGAACGCTATAACCACAAGGCTACCCAGCCGCCCCTCATCACAATGAGTATCTCACAATGGGTACAATGTGTGAAGCCCATCCTGGTGTCCCCCGCCGTGATATTGCTGGAATATTGTTAAAAGCGGCGTAAAACCATACTCACTCACTAGTATCTCACAACAGGTGACGTACACCTGTCGTCTCAGGGTACATGAGGGTCGCAATTTTACAGTACAACAGTAAGAATCAGAGTAAAGTGTGCATTTTCCAGTGTATACTTTCTTTTGCCCCGCAATTTACACTGGATAATCGAGGATGATGATCTGTATTTTCGCACCAACTCCTTGCAATGTCAGCAGAAATTATATGTGACGTGACGGCGCTTACTTTTGTATGTTTCAGATATGTTTCACATACCGAAGCAACGGTCAGAGATTGTCTCCCCTCACCGCTCTTCTTACATGGATTTACATAAAGACATTGAGCGTTTGACACGCATGCGCAAGTCTGACAATAACGCCGGAAGAGGCAGCTGGTTACGGAAGCTGGTTCTCATGCGTGCGCTGATGAATCAACCTGTGATTCAAAAACGACTTGAATTGAACTGTGATACAACCCGCATTACTATTCAAATAATATTGGAGTACTTGCGGAGCGGAAGAATATGTGGGTTTAGGGTAACAACAGTGCGTTTCGGACTGGGCGGAAGGAGGTAAACCGGAAGTACCATATAACATTCTCTGAAGCCAGCCTAATCTGATCACACAGTTGTAAGGGACATGGGAATATCGTTTGAATATACAGTGAAACCCTGTTAATCCGAACACCTCACGCTCCGGACGAGTATCTTTGGAAGGTATATAGATATATATATGCGGAGTGTATATATTATATACAAACTGACCCCTACTGTGATTCCTGTATTTCGGAAATTTGTTTATCCGGGCTGTTTCATTTAGTACCGTCCGGATTAACAGGGTTTCACTGTATTTGTTTCATTGGTTCTACTGCTTTTCCAATAACAGACATTGCTCACACTGTGAACCTTATCGTGGTAACGATGCAGTGGTCCTAGACATTATAGCCTCAGACTAATCTTCACATGTCCCCATGTGTGCGGTCAATGTTATGAGGGTGACGCGTGTAATGAAATACAGAAAGCCTATTTCAGAGAAAGTACTGCTGATGGCAACGACTTTAAATCAGTGAGTGTGTGCATTCGTCGCTAAAGGGCGTTGTGGACATATGCGCTGGTCGTGAGAGGGCGTTGGAGAGCCGAGAAACCCAATCAGCGGAAATGTTTTGAACGCTCTGCTTGAAGAATGGCTGATGAAGAGGACAAATAGATGTCGCTGCATCAAAAGCGTGGATATGTTTTGTTGTTTGTTAATTTGCAGTGTGACATTTGTGGTAATATGCTTGAAGGTGATACGGCAATGTACATAGTTAGCTCTGTATTGTGAAAACTCGCTGGTCCGGAAACCCCGCTAGTCCGGAAACCCTGCCTTCCGGGCGAATACTGCTGAGAAGGTCGCCATGCGTACACATGGACTTAACCACTATGAATTCGGAAATTTAAGAATACGGAAAATTACACAGCGAAAACTGAAGTCCGGATTAACGAGATTTCACTTTATAATAGATTATTAAAATATCTATCTAGTAAGGCGGACTAGTAACATCATCCCGCTACAAGAGCAGGGGGCTTATGTTCCATGAATGTTCAGCCTAGATCTAGCCATATTAATATAGGGGCATGTGGGACACAGTGTCTATGATAATTAACTGCTAGAGTTACATCTGTAATACAACTGGAGTTGGCAGCGTCGCGTTTGAACGTTTCAATCAAACTTGCTTGGAATTTGCTGCCAATTTGTCAGGGTTTGGTACTCCTTTAAGTCCTCACGAATATTTAAGAATCGACTTCAATATATTTTTGTGCATTTATGAAGGTATAAACGGAAAAGCCGATGTGCACTTTGTGTAAAAACCGCGCTTTTACGTTTATACTTCATAAACACAAAAACATATTGAAGTCAATTCTTATAAATAAATAAATAAATAAATAAATACGTGTTATTTATTCATTAACACATAAACACAGTACACAACAACACGATGTCCATGACGTCGTTCAGCGCAATAATGCAACACGGACCCCACCAATTCTAGTATCAGCCAATCAGGAAACTGTAGTCCGTAGGTGGGCGTGGTCTAATGTTATTTTCGGAAACATAAACGCAAAAAGAAATTATTAGTTAGCCAATCAAACGCCACGGAATGACGTCAAATTATTTATAACATTGTAACAATCGATTCAGCAAATGGTCAATTTCGATCAACAATCATGTGAAATGAATTAGAAATTATCGCTACACTGGCGAAATAGGGGTTTAAAATGAATACTAGTCCGCCCTAAATATTAGTACGCACGGGACAACGGACAAGCGGCTATATCTGAGGCTAGTTGTAATCTGTAGTCGAATTGAGTCCGTTATTTTGTCTCCTGTGTCAACCATCTCTCACAATCCATTGGCGTTTCTTTTATAAGAATAAAGTGGTCTCTTATGTCATGTTCGTGTTTGCGTTGTGTGCAGAGTGCTCCAGGAGTCTAAAACCACCACAGACAAACACTGTAGACACGCGCGAAGAGTCCTACGACTTAGTTAAGACTTGATTGTGTATCTGAAAATAGCTTAAACCTCGTACATTGATCTTGAAAGAGGTTTGTTTTTTATATAAATAATGTAGAGAGGTTTGCCGTATATAAAGTATTATCTTAAGAGAGGTTTACACGTTAGAGAGGAAACAGAGATATATTTGGATCGTTTAAAGGTCCCAGTTCTTTTTTTGGGTCTTGTAATATTACAATATCTATATTATTGTATACGTATTCCTGTTTTGCTGTAAATAGGGCAGATCAAAGGAATCGCAAATTCACCGCTAATCTATCCTCGATTATCTAGCGCAAAAGATCTTTAACCATTGATAACATATAAGGTCAGGTACTGACGTCATCATCTATTTCTCTTTTATCATCAACTTTCAAAGAGGTTTATTTGACGAGTGTTTTAAGGTCATGTCAGTCATATCGGACTTAAAAAACGAATCTTTGGTCGCGAATAGACCCAGAGTATTTATCAGAATGGTGCTATAATACCCTTGATAAACGAAGATGAAAAAAATAAGCTGTTATCTGTATCAACCGATATTATTCCTCGGATTCTCATCAGCCAGTGGGGTAACATGACACACCAGTCGACGAGACCAAGGACAATCTCCATCAGTGGACAATATATTCGACCCGATTACGACCCTTGATTTATAAGCACCACACCCACGTTCGTCTGTTTGCAAAATGTGGTAAACGTCATGAAATATCCAAAGTTGGCTATGTGATAACCTATTTACCGACGACAAATGACAATAATCAGGCAAAGCTGGGATTCGACCACAAGATTTGTGGATCCTTTCACGTCTACGGAACGCAACTCTGCGCTGCCTTAACTGAACTGCCTGCGCTCCGTGGTTCCGGGGCGTTCAAACGATCCACGTGAAACATAATATTATTTACAACAATTTTTAACTCAAGTACGTTTACTCGAAGAGTACAAGCAACACAGGACATGGATCCTACACTCATCACCAGCATCCAATTAATGTTAATACTTACAGCCTTGTAGTTAAATCCTGAAATTCAGTTTCTGCAGTAGTATTTACTGTGGATCGTATACCGAAAGCATCCTAATCCTTCCTCGGAAATCAAGGGATGTTTCTTATTGTGTGTATATCTACCCTCGTCTTATCAACTGCCGCTACAGCGGAACCGCGGAATCCCATAATTATGATTACCAAGATGACACAGTAACATTAAACTGGAGGTGTACTTTTATTCTTACATTTTCCTGAACACTGAAATACGCCAGTGGTTGCATTCATGTCATGTGTTAACACGAAGAGGTCAACGTCAGTTGGTATATTCATTAGTATAATTCGGTATGGAAAATCAATATGATGGCGTTCATTTGTTTTTGTTTTCAAATATTGAGTAAATGTTACGCTGCAAAATGGATTGCTACAGTTTTATGTAATCACACCGTTCATCATTCAACTGAGGCATTTATCCATGGCATAACGCTAGGCAAATACCGATTAACTTAGCCTCGTAATTTAAATGAATCCGGTATTTATTCTTGAAAATAATAGTAAACGTGTTTGTCTGTCAGCTTACAATGAATAGCGAAAAAAAAGATTATGCACCATTTAAATGCATGTAACTACTGTTGAAATGTTGACGGAGCTGTTAACAGATTAACAGTGACAGACTGTATAAATATACGTATGGTTGTGGGCGATGTAATCAATTTGGGAAAAACAATGATAAAACAGAACAAAGACGCGCTTGTTGGAAATCCGACACGGTGGAAAAATACAAACAACGGGCCATTATTTTCTTGATCGCCAAGGAATCAACACATTAATAGGTTCTCACGGCAGAAACGTGATAGTTTCATTATCGTTAATGAGCAAGGCACAGGTTACTTGTTCATTAAAACATCGACTCGGCATTTTCTTGGACGTCTCAACAGTAATACTTTATGACTTGATCAACACACTTTTTCTCGGTACTAAACACAACAACACATCATTACTTGATTGTCAAGCATTACTTGATCTTTATTGAGAAAGGGGTGGGGGAAGGGGTGGGGGAAGGGGTGGGGTGTGTTGGTGGGTGTGGGTGTGGGGTGTGGGGTGTGGGGTGTGGGGGTGTTATGTTGGCGAAACTGACGCAGGGCTGAAACGCTGATATGGCATTGAAACCCTTGATTAGGGGTGCGACTAGGGAATAGCGGCAGTTTAGATGTGAGGTGAGGTGAAATGGGGTTTAACGTGGCGTCCAAGAATAATGCACTTATATAGCGACGTTCATGCACGTGTGTGTGTGTGTGTGTGTGTGTGTGTGTGTGTGTGTGTCCCAATGAGATACCATGCCGCAGTGTAACATGAACACCCCTCTCAGACGCAGTATACTGACTCCTAGCCGACCAGTCCTTGTTTAAGCCCTTTAATGCCGAGCGCCAGACAGGGTAACAACAAGTACCATCTTGTAACGTCTTTTGATATGACCCCCGTACCTTCCGCTCTCAAGGGGCAGTTCAGACTATATGGTTTGTAGATCTTGTTCAAATTATTCTGGGGGGGCACGGGTGGCCGAGTCGTCTAAGGCGCCGCGATTCGCTGTGCAGAGTTGCGTCCCTTGGGCACGCCAGAAACCTATGATTGTGGGTTCGCATCCCGGTTCGCCCCAATTATGTTTCTAGGTTTGTCAGCACCATACCCGTGCTCGTGGGTTTCGCCGAAGTGATAAACGTCTGGGACCTGCATCACTTCGGGCTTTCCTCCCACATTAAGCTGACACGCCGCGATATAACTGGAATACTGTTAAAAGCGGCGTTAAACCCAACTCACTCACTCACTCAAATTATTCTGGCTCCTTCAATTCCGCTGATGCTAAAATGAGTTGGTGACCTGGCGGTGACATTTGGCAGTTTATGTTCACGCATTTCAGGAGTTTACAAGCTGACACGGACTTTGCTGTTCACATGATCTGAGACGCCATGACACCTTGGTGATTCGGACACAGATTTCTGATCTGAAACTTTGAAACGGCGCAAGTTTTACTCACCTAGAACATAAACATGAGAACTTTTACTTTGGTAACATGTAAAAATCGTACATATTTCAGTCAAACAAGTGATCGAGAGCATGAGCGTCGATCAATGCCATCTGGGTAGTCACGCTAGAACTATCCGATCATAACTTTATTTTATCTAAAGGTTTATTCATTATTATAGGGGGGCCGTGGGGTAGCCTAGTGGTTAAAGCGTTCGCTCGTCACGCCGATGACCCGGGTTCGATTCCCCACATGGGTACAATGTGTGAAGCCCATTTCTGGTGTCACCCGCCGTGATATTGCTTGAATATTGCTAGAAGCCGCGTAAAACCATACTCACTCACTCACTATCATATAACGACGAAGCTTTATTGAAAACATAAGTTTTTTTTCTGACAAATGGAAAGATTTCAAATGTACGACAAGAATAAGATCATGTGTGCAGACACGTGTACTTAGTCGTAAGAGCCCACAAAATGGATCGGGCGGTAGCCTGGTTGATTGCGTGTCATCGTACCCCGACCGCGTGGATGGTTGCTCACAATATCAGTCACCGAATTGTCTGGTTCAGACCCCATTGTTTACAGGCCGCCGTCAAAAAGCTTGAATATAGCTGTGTGCGGCTCTAACGCCAAAAAAACCCAAGCAAATAAAAACATGTGGGAATCGAACACGGGTTTTTAGACTCGAAGAGAATGGGTGCCAAGAACCAACCAACCAAACAAACTAAGAAGACGGCGAAAAGAACCGTTGGTGTATTTTTGAGGCGCTTCACTCACTTCTTTATTCATTGTCAAGCTGAGGTGAGTTGAGATGGGGTTTAACGTCGCGCTCAAGATAATGATAATTCCCCCTCACATACTCGTGTGTGTGTGTGTGTGTGTGTGTGTGTGTGGCTGCTTGTACTAGTCTGTACTTTAGACCGTCTGCTGCAAAATCGTACCGATGAAATGCAATATATATATATATATCCGAAAGCAACAATTGGTCTTAAGTGGCATAAAAGTTAGTCAGCATTATTTCAGACGTTTTCATGATGGAGAGAAAAAGTTATTTAACAAACTCTCATGTTGGTGTTGGTGATTTAATGCCTTTTGTAACAAGGGGGTCTGCACTATCTGAACATCGCTACATGATAAATTCGTCTGTGTTAGTCCAAACTACTACAATCCTTTCTGTCATAAAATCCTGTCAAATGAAAAGCATAAATCAGAAGCGTATCTTTCTGGAGTAGTTGTTAAACGGAATATTCTGATAAAATATTCTGTAAAATATTCTCAAAGCAATGTTAGTGTATATTCTTGGTATTATTATTCAGCTAATTTCAATGCGAATGATAAAATAAACAGAACGAGCCAAATATATCATTATAATACGGAATGATGAACTTCACAGATTATTTGAAAATCTTGGTATTTTAATTGATGACTATTTTACGTCGGAGGGGTGCATTGACGAAGTTGAGACCAGTAATTAAGCTTCATGTTGTGAAAGAGATGGTTTAGATCATGCAACTGTCAGTCAAAGTATTATTTCAGTTGACAGTAACAGTGACAGTGACAATGAAAATATTTCAGAATAGAAGTTTTGAGACTGTCCCTCTGTTCCGCGATGCCCTTCAGCTGTTATTGTTATTGCGCAGACCCCCTTCGTTCGTTGGTTTGTTGTTTAACGCCGCACTCAGCAATATTTGAGCTATATGACGGTGGTCTGTAAATACACGAGTCTGGACCGGACAATCAAGTGATTAATATCATGAACATCGATCAACGCAAATGGGATCGTTGACATGCATCAACCAAGTCAGCGAGCCTGACCACCCGTTAGTCGGCTCTTACGACAAGCATAGTCGCCTTTTACGGCAAGCATGGGTTCTGAAGACCTATATATTCTACCCCG